TCAGCTCCTCTTAAATTAGAGATTATTAGAGATTATTTTTGAAGTTAGCTTTCTAGCACCTCTTCGAAGCTAGAAACAATGTTTGTTAAGGATAGTTACTTGTGTAATGTTATGTTCTCAAAAAGTATATAAATAAGTTACCCAGTTAATTGATTTGCATTAGCCAAACAGATGAATTTTTGCCTATGAAGTTAGATAGTACTGAACTGAAGGACCTATTTACAAAAAATAGAGTCAAGAAATTATAAAAGATTGACAAAAAGTTTGAGGAAAGTGAGGAAAAAGATAATGACCTCGGGGACAAAGGTCATGAGAGGTCTAGCTCGTATCATGGTAGTAGTCAATATGTGGTATTTTATGTAAGGGAAATAGAGCTGGGACTGTAAAGCTCCAAATAGTTAAGTCAACACATAAAAAAAAAAAAAAAAAAAAAAAAAAAAAATTGAATATAAATACTTGTCTTCTATGTGATCAATTATTACATGTTCGTGTGATGATCGATCAGTGAGAAATCAAATTGCGAACTCCACAAAGGGAGGTTAATAATCATGCAATCATATAGTAATCAATCATATAAGAGTCGGTAGTATAAAAATAGTATACTGAAGTATGATAAATATTATGCATAAAAAATGTGTAATTGATTAAATTAATCTGAGTCAAAGGATCGTATGATCAATTATGATGTAATAATCTAGAGTCAAAGTATATATATAAGTGAAAGCAAAATAAACAAAATAAAAAAGTTTAGTTGAAGAAAGAAAAAGAATTTAATAATAAATAATAAACTTTAACCTCTCTTGAATAAGTTCATCCTAACTTTTTTATAAACCATCATTGCCCTATTACCTGAGCTAGGTTTTATTTAACAAAAGTCATTTATTAACCCAAGACACCAGCTTCAAGAAAGCTAATTACATCTCTATTGAATACTACATCCATAATATTGTAATTCCTCTCTCTATATACAACCAAATTCTCAGTAAATATCTTACTATAGCCAAATACAAAGCCTATTTCTCTTGTTCTACCCCTAACAGTATCCTTCTTAATCACAATCTTTATAATATTCACAGTATTTGGAACATTCAACTACAATTTCACATTAGCAACTTTCTAAATCGAATTAACAATAGCTTAATACTTGGTACTACTACTTATATTCAACTCTAGCAACTTCAAAATAACCTCTGGTCTACTACCAATATACTTTCATATCTGCACCTGATTATCGATAGCCCAAACAAACACTCTACTATCTTTAAAATTATACAACTGCTAAATTATCTTCAAATTACTATATATTCATACTCTAATTTCTCATAGCTTAAAACTATAAATGATAGCAACACACCTCTTGAAAACAACTTATCTAACTACCCCAAATACAATACCTTTAAACAACAACTTTGTTATAAAAATATTCTCTATCTTGAACAACTTTGCTCTGTGAATATCAACACTCTCCTAGACTATAGATGCTGGTAAAATATGGTGAAATATGGTGAAATGTGGTGAAATAATTTCACCACTATTGGTAAAATTGGTGGTGAATTGGTGAAATTGGTGAAATTAATTTTACCAGCATCTATATTTTAGACTGGTTATATCTATCTTCTCGACTCTTACATATCTCCAAAGAGAAAAAACCACTCTGGTTTACATATTATAAAAATTCTATTCTTAATAATAATATTCATCATACTATTATTTCTCATCTTCAACCTACTAGTATTAACCTATTTGTATATCAAACTAATTCATTTTTCAAAACTGACAAGCCTTGGGTATTAACTTATTTCAACAACCACATTATTATTGGTCAAGTCTAAAAAGCCTTCTCTCAATCTAATAAAATCTCTATTATACATTGGTAACAATATTAACACCTCTACCTCATACTATGATTCTTTACCTTCAATTTCTTACACTCCTTGCCAGGGTTGCAAACTTAACTCCTATTATATAACTAGTTGCTGCATTTTAGAAGTATTAACTATTCTTTCTACCCACTTTCTTAGAAGAAAGAAAGCTAATAAGCAACTTAACCTCAATGCCAATTATATTGACCTTATTCATTCTACAAATATTAAACACCTCTCATATATACCACTCTGCCAACTATCAGCATTATTGATTCATGTATTTTAAATATTTTTCAAGAAAGTGAAGCCTCCAAAAAACTATCTCACATTGTACTTTCCAATTTCTCTCAACGTCAGTTTACCTTTTACACAAACGGCTCTGTTAAACAAATTGGTACTGACTATTGCTCTATGAGTATTGGCTAGGTTCAAGTTCATAATAGTCATGTTATCCAAAGCTTTTCTGCTCAAATCCTAAATTGGCCTTCCTTCTACAAAGCTGAACTAATTGCATTTACTATTTTTACACTTCCCTGTAATTCTCTTGTCAAAATCTTTACTGACTCACAATCTATTATTTCTAAATTTAACAAACTTAAATCTCTTTCACCTCACTCCTCTAAACTCTTTAAATTTAATACTTGGCCTATCTGATACACACTTCTTAATATATTAAAATTCTTTAATATTCAACTTACTTTTTACAAAGTTTAAGCCCACTCAAATGATCTCTTTAACAACTTTGCTAACCTTCTTGCAAACAACAATTCTTTCTCACCTATTCTAAATTTTGATTATACAAATCTCTACAATCTATACTCTTCTCTTTTCTGAAATAATATCTATATCAAAAGCTCTACTAGACACTTTATTAAAACAATTCACAAAGCACATACTATTGCATTATAGTCTTCATAACAGCATGCTCAAGAATGGTTACACTTCTTTCACTTAATTGACTAGCAAGCCTCCTGGCTATACTTCAACAATAACTAAAAAATTTTATACAATTTTACTAATTTTAAATTAAATTATTTAAAATTCTTCAAAATAATTTACTTCTAAATATTTTATCAACTAATTTTTATTTTTATTCTATTATCTCTCTATATTTACATCTTCTAATTGCTTTTCCTATAATAGCCTAGATACTTCTTCTCACTAGTATACATGTTCTAATAATACTCTTCTAAATCAAAATATCAATACTTCTATTTATGAGATTATTACTAATGCTAGTCTCAATCTTACTTCATATCAACTTAACAACTTAATATATATGATTTCTTCTCACACTTTTTTTATCTTCTTTTCCTCTACTTTATATCTTTATTCACTTCACTTTACACTTAAAGGCCTCATTTCTAAACCCTTAATTCAATCTTTAAACTCTTTCAATATTTCTTATTCTCAAGCCTCACAACTAATTATATATATACTTATTAAAATTTTTGATCTTACTTACAATATCATATGAATCCTATACTGTACAAACTTTTTATATTAGAAAAAAGCCTACCAGATTCTTCTCTTTATACCAAAATTATAGAAGAAACAGAACTATTTTTATAATCAGCTGCTCTTGTAGCTTTGCCAACTATTTACATTCTGAATCTAATATCTGTCCTTCCCTAGAACAGGATTCTTTAAAAATGAATATCTAGTCTACTATGCAGATTAAACATAGCACTTCTATTAACCATATTCTATCTATTCAAATTTAGGTGAGTTTTGACCACTTAAATAGGTTTAGATTACAAATAATTTTGTCTGAGCTTTTATTTTTGCATGTAATTTATATTTATTTGTTAGCATACAAATTAAGTTTTTATATAGCTTTATATAATTACTTATATAAATTATTAAATAAAGATACAAGCAAGACCTCACCTTAATACCAAAAAAAAAATAAAAAATTATTATATATACTATTTATTCCCTGGGATGGTGGAAATAATGAAATATTTTCCAAGGAGTATATGTGTGGGGCGCTTTGCACCTCATAAATACACCGCTGGAGGAATATTTTAATTATTTCCCTGGCACGGTGGAATAAATGAGTTATTCCCATCTCATTATGATCACATGACGGGAATTTACATTTTATTAATCACAATTTTTATTACAAATTTTTGTCTTTTTTTTTTTATTTGTTATTTCCCCGCGGGGTGATAACAAATAAAGCCCGGGGTGATAATAAATAAGAAAAAAAAATAAAAAAATTTGTGATAAAAATTGTGATTAATAACACGCAAATCCCCGTCATGCGATCATATTGAGACGGGGAATAATTAAGGTTAATATATTTTTTATTAAAAAAGTGAGAAATTTTTTCATTAGGATGCATAAAATAGCTTTGTAAGCAAAATTTGATTTATGGCCGATTTTTTTGAGCGAACTCGGCGGTCTGTTACATCTGAGTGTCTTAATTAGTTTAATATTACATGGCTGCGAATTTTTCAGATAATAGTCATGTATTATCGTACAGTGCATGAAATCTTAATCTCTCTTTACAGAGATAATACATAAACTATATAGTAACATGTTGAAATAAATTTCAATAAAGTGAATTCTCAACCACTTTGCATAGCCAAGAATACGTAATATGTATTTAATACGTAGCAATTATTCTATGCATATTGCTTAAAATAGGTCGCTACTTTTGGCTTATCTCCAATTGTCGTAATACATACTGTAAATCGTGATTGCCGCAGTATTCATCGAAGCTTGTGTGTCACCAAATGAAACAAATGAACGTATAATTATACCAAAAATGGTACTGTATAATACTGTATAACATAGTATCATTTAAGAGAAAAACTTCTTTTTTAATCAGTGTATCGAAAAGAAATTTAATTGCTAAACTAATTACTATATTAGTATTATACCTAGTGTGTGAAATTCAATGTTCCCAATGTTCTCTAGAAAATATGTTCTCTATCTGAGAACATTAAATAGATTTTTAATACTGTATATATAAATTTAATTTTTCTATATGCAATATATTGAGAACATTAAGGATTTAAAGAATGTTCTCAGTGAGAACATTAAATCTAAATTGAATTTCACACACTGATTATACCTCTACCCATATGTATTATATGTATTATACCAATTGTGTAATATGGTATAGTAAAATTTTAAAACCTTAGTGGTCCGTATACCCGTATCAATTGACACGTGAAGCTGAAAATGGTGACTAACAATAATTAGTCTGGCTAGCTATAAGTTGAGAAAGTATTTTATGCTACTTTATTTAGTGTACTAATACCTATTTTTTCTAGTTCTCAATAAGTTCACATGGTCACGATTCAAGTACAATGGAGTTAATCACGAATTTAATCAATAGATTTTTAGTATATAATGAATTTGATTACTAATCGGTCTTTCTCTCTCTTAACTAACAATAGCGGGTTTCACGAGGGTCCCGGGACAAGAAAGACTAGACATAATAATACTTTAACGACTTATAACAATAAGAGGGCAGATACAACTTCTACTACTAATGTTTCGATGTTAGAATTCTAAGGATCAGTTAACTTTAATGTAACAGAATCAAGGCGATATTAACACTATCTTTTTTCTATTCTTTCGTTTCTATCCATTTCCCCGATAATATTCTTTACTATCATTTAATCGATCCTTTCTAAACAGAAATTGAACGATGCACTACATCAGATAGTAGTACTTACACGAGTGATTAATGGTAATTTACGGTCTTCTTTCCAATAGACATTTTATTCAGTGAGAACTTGAATATGATAAATATCTAGGCTATTAAAATGGTCGCATTAGTTAAAACACCCAGAGCAGTTTCATTATAAAAAAAAAAATAAAATGAAATCGTTTGTTTTTCCGCTCTTCGTAAAACAAACTAATATGTGACACTTTAACACGTGTCATTCTGTGAAATGAAGACTACCATCAGCATGTGCATGTTGTCATATTGTCACGTCATTTTTAACACCACGTCTGTACGTGCCACATGGTCCGTGACATCTCGTGCATTGCGACTAAACTTACTTTTATACTTATGTTTTTCAACCTTATTGCAAAAACTTGCATTAATCAGGTTAGTTGTATGAAATTCTACGTTTATGTAATATGTGCTACTACACCTTTTTTGGAACTTCCTTTCACCATCTACCATGAGGAAGTAGGCGCGAAACAGATACATCAGTATAAATAATAGTTGATTTGAAATTAACGTTTATCGTCTACTAGCTGTATTATCAAGTCCAAAATGACTTGGCGCCCGTTACTTCCAAATATACAATGCATGCAAGTGCCACTCACCAATGTACCTTCAGTATTAGACTTATACGCATTTGATGTGGTATCGTCTGGAGGTAGTACTCTTGGCGAAGGTTATGAAATTTTGCCTCAGGATCGTACAAATAAGGGTCGGGTAAGATAATGTTTTGTTTATTCATATTTGTGAGTATGAATTATATGTGAAGTAAACTCATTATATTCAAAATGTTAAGCTACGTGAAGGAGATGTAAAAACTATTACACTCGTAGATGAACACGCAAAACAATTATCTAAGTCAATGTTTGCATATACAGAATATCTTGGATGTTCTATGCGGGTATATAAAATAAAAAATGTTGATGTATTTAGTTTCACAGAAATTTGTGAAGTATTAATTATGTTTCTTGAAAGAATGGGTGCCGCAAAGGCAAATGCACCTGGAAAGGTCAGATTGTAGTCCTTCAGAACAAACCTCTTAATCTATGTAATATCGAATACCACGGAAGTCATGATCCAGAACATGTTCGGAAAAAATCACTTCGAATGGCAAATTCAATCAGAAAAACAATAACAAATAGAGCGGCAAACGTAACTCCTTCCTTATTGGCAACAGGTTATAGAGCGAAATTTTATTTAAAATAAATAAATAAGGAAAAAAAAAGGGAAAGAAAGAAAAAAAAAAAAAATCAAATTTGCTAATTGGCTTCGTTTTTTTTTTTTTTTTTTTTTTAGAATTAATGAATTGTGCAAAGATTTTAAGTACAACTGTTTCTACACCAGAAAACCAAACACAACCAACATCTACTCGGTTTGTTCCTAATCTTGAAACAATACAGAATGCCCTGAAATATGATAAAAAACTGCATTTTCCGAGTGTATTAGAATATGAAAAAGTAAGTAACTGCTTTTATAAGGAGTTATTTTTTCTTTATTTAATTTTTTACTTACCAACAGGTTTGTACTATAATGGATGCCCATGAGTCCGAAGACACTGTTATATCAAAGCAGTATGGCGTTAAGGATGCTCAAGACCCCAAAGAGCAAGCTGTACTTCTTGGCATCGCATCTACAATTATGCCAACACTATTATCAAAGTATCCAGACTTTTTAGGCGTAGACTCTACTGGTCGTCGTAACAGCTTGAATTTCCCAAACACGGCCTTTATGGTTAGATCAGATGAACCTCGTGGTCGAATTGTGGCAACATTTGTAAGTGATAAAGAAACAATGCCAGTTGTTGATCTTATGTTCGAATCGGTGGGTCTTTAGTTGTTTTATGCTAGGTTTTTGCTAAATTTGGCTTGATAATTCTAACATCAACTGGTTAAAGCTAATTCAATATAGTATTAAAAATGATGTTCAACTAAACCCTAAATGGTTAGCAATGGATAAATGGGACCCTTATCTAACAGCAGCCAGAAAACATTTCCCCAATACGCAGGTAGTTTTGTGTGACTGGCATGAGGGTGAGTTTTCTTAACGTTAATTATTCTCGTTACCGTATACGTAGCACTACCTACAGCACAAATATTGTAGATCAATTTTACCATTTATTCTATATATACACGTGATCTTTAATTTTTCACTATGTAAAAAATCATGTATTATAGGTAGTGCTATATAGTATTTGTATTTTAGTTTTCTCATTTTTAGAATATTGCTATTTTTCTAGCCGATGCACTTAAGGAATGGTTTACGAAAAATATAAATGACCAATGGATTAGAGATCGAACATTTTATCAATTTCGGTTTGTTAAGAGATCTAGAGACCAAGAAGAATTTGATCAGCGGAAGATAACTATCTTGAATCCTAAAGAGTTTCAGTCTACCATTGGAATTACCAACTTAGCTATTGCAGAAACTATCACATCTTATTTTCGAACGCATTGGTTCGGCGATTGGGTTGGCAAGTAAAAAAAAAAAATAAAATAAAAAAATAAATAAATAAAAAAAATTAAAGTTCATATTAACATATATACTATACATTAACGTCGTCACAGATACTTGGCCAGATTATAGGCGTAACGGCTGTCCTATGAAAACAAATATGTTACTAGAGAGTTACTTTAAAAAAGATATGATATTGCATTACCGGGGAAGATATACAAAGTCTTTACACTCTAATCTCGAGAAAATAGGTACATCAATGCGCGTAGATGCAGGAGAAGTTGAAAGGTAAATACATGCTGATTTATTTGTTTGTTTTTATATTTTTAAAACTAAACCCTTTTTTTTTAAGGTTTTGGAATGGAGAAGGCAAGCAACCTACGAAATCAAAGTTACAACGAGAAAAAAATAAAATACATATAAAAGGGGAGCTGTTATATAAAAAAAATCTTGTTCAAGGTAAATACCAATAATACATTTTATTCAACCCTTTACATATTAAACCCATGCTAAATTTTGTTTATTATACTGTAGGTTTAATATATTAAATGTCTTTATTTAAATTTTTTGCTATCATATATAATTTGAGTGTGTATGTATTCACAACTATTAACCCTTTAAATTTTAGAGATTGACCAGGATGCTTGGATTGTGTCCCGTTTCAGTACAGATATTCAACATGTTGCCGCTGAATTGGATGACAGTGATTCTGATAAAGAAGACACTGAATCTAAGACATCTGATTTATTTGATCAAGAGAAAACATTATATATTACACGTAGAAGTGAAAAATTTGCTTGCCCATGTGGTTTCAATATAATCCGCGGACACGATTGTCAGGATATTATAGCTGTTCGCTTCTTTATTGGCGAGTTGAAACTACAAAAGTATGTTTTATTTTTTATTTATTGATTTCTTTTCTTATATAAATATTGCTAATATTTCTTTTATAGTACTTCGTTTTCTAATAGTAAATCAAAGCCAGAAAGGTAAAAAATTAGTCTAGTATTTTTCGCTGAATTTTACCAAAGTATAAGGAATTTAAATTAGTAAATTGATGATATTAATTTATTTTTTATTTTATTTTATTTTATTTTCCTATATAGACCTATTGCAAGCAGTTCTCTTGAGTCTTACCTTCGTCAGAAGGATGATAACGGTCATAACGAAAATGAGCTTAAATTACCTAAAAAAAGAGGTCACAAAAATAAGAAAAAAAACAGATTGGTACCAGGAGAGCAAGTTCATCTTCGAGATACAATTTTGGATGAGCCTTACAATAAGGTGCAGATTGTTGAAGTTATTGGTGAAGGCAAGGTTATCGTAGACGTTACATTTGAAAGCGGTAATACGGGACAACATGTAGTTCAACTAGCTGACATAATTGGGTACGCCGATGAACAAGTAAAAAAAAAAAAAAAAGGTAATGTTACTATATGGAATATTTGCTAGAAGAATAACCTCCCAGACTATATAGATGTTATTAATAAAGGTTAAATTCCCAGAGAATTATTTTTCTAGCGAAGATCCCATATACTGTATACAAGTCACGTTATAGTGAAGTGATCAAGCTGTGAAATTTCCTTTACTATATCGAGAGGGTTTTTATATAGACTGTTCTTCACTATACTTATATCGAGAGTTCACTATAACGAGAGTAACTTGTATATTTTGTTTTTTTTTTTATCATATATATTTTTAAATTATTTCTTTATACCAACTAGTTATCTAAGGATTCTTATGGAAACTTTGTCGTTTATACAATGCCATATGGGGGGAAGAAAGGCGATCTACACTTAACTTCTACATGTCCAGTAGACACGAGCCTCACACTTATCCAAAGTGCTTTTACTCAGCAAAATATTTATAGTCAAGCCACAGCTTTTGCTATAGCTGACCCCATTTCACATACACATCTTCTTATCAAAGTTTTTGACCGAATGAAGCAAAAGCAATGGGTAGAGGCCAAGCTTCTTTGGGTTGAAAATTTACCTTCATATAATAACAAATTAAAAACAGGATGTATAAACTTATTTGGAAGTCTTTCGGAGCTATTTTTTGAACAATTCTTTCAAGATTCCTTGGATTGGAATCTTCTTATTATCAAAAGCACAGTAACAACTGTGTGTGATTCAGATTACTGCCCTAAAAAAACTCTGCCGCTGACACACTCTTATGATATCGTACTTACGTAAGTAATGATAGTTTTTCATTTTCATAAATATATATCTGTTTTTTTTTTTTGATTTTTTTTTTAGAAAACCGCAATTACCAGTATTACCGAGAAGAGGTAACTACTTTGAAACTTGTCTAAAATATTGGCAAGAGCCTTGTATTGTCTCCTGTGGATCAGAGTTAATAACTATAAATGAAAAAGCCCCGGAAAATGTCCCCGTAAATGCCTTTACGGTCGATAAATATGCATCATTAGAAAGCGGAAAAATCATGTGGGTGATTTATTTACTCTACTTATATTTTAATATATATATATAATATATATATATTTTTTAAGCCATTTGTATCTGTGTGCCGGTAAAGCTACTTCAACGAGACAAATCGACTGACGGTTACCCCTAATTCTTGTAGTAAATGTTGCAGGAATTAATATTACCGATGAAGGACTTTTTCTTGAAAGTAAAGACCTTCCGGAAGAAATTAGTTTCCCTGAAGACGCACATATAAAGCAAAGGTAATATCCGATTCTGCTTACTATGGGCTTTATACAGTATACATATATATGTATATACTGTATTTTTTTCCTTTTTTTTTTTTTTTAGATACCGTCTTATGGGGGCTTCCTTTTGTGATAGTAATCATCATGTTGCCGATGTTCGTTTTGAAGATGACAAAAATGTGGGCTGGTATCAATATGATGGTTTGGGAAAAACCTATCGTGCAAGAGCAATGTTTATAGGAAATTCACGCCCACCTCACAAAAATGGCTACGCTATGGATTTCGCAATTTATGTAAAGATTTAAAAGTCTTATTAGTCTAAAGAAAATCTTTACAAAACTAATTGTTTTATAAAGTGAATAATTTCGCTTTTAATAAAAATTTTATAGTCTTAATAAAGTGAACAAAGATTAATATCTTTAAATTCATCTTGCTAATTTTTAGCATTATACGGTCAAACCTTTATATATGCACGCTCTATAAATGCACACCCTCTACAATTGCACCCTATGCCTCAGTCCCAACTAATAATGACAGCAATAAAACTACACTCTATAAATGCACACCTACAAATATACACTTGTGGTCGGTCCCAAGGGGAGTGCATATATGGAGGTTTGACTGTAACTAGTTACTGGCAAAAATACAGTAAAACCTCGCTAATAATCATCTCGGCTATAAGCGCAATTATTAGTTCACTAATACTTCACTTTAATAAGTTTAAAATTACATTGAGATATATATTAGACGTGTTAGGTTTATATACTACTGGATCCACTTATAGTAAACACATTATTTAAAAAGAAAAAAATTCTTGTAAAATTATAGTATTGCTCACTATTAATCCAACCAATTTTAAAAGATGCAAATTAGCACAAATAATCTCATTCAACACCAGAAAATTCTTAACAAATAGAATGTATCCGTTTGTTATTAAAGTCGAGGAGGGTGAATATAAAGCATTCGTTTATTATTAAATATTTGCAAAGTGGACAATACTAATTAAACAAACACTCTTGGAGTTTGTGATTCTTACTAATAGGTAATAAATGTTAGTGCCCTTACCAAAATAAAGTAGGAAATATTCGCTAAAATGGACAATGCGTTATCAGAATTTTGGCCTATAGTAAATGAAATAATACTGTAGACAATAAATGTTAACGTTCTTACCAATTCTAATAAAACAATGCTTTTGGAAATCGTGATCAGAATTTGACTTCTATTGTAAATGAAATATCACTGGTAGATAATAAATGTTAGCGCCCTTACCAAAATAAAGTAGGAAATATTTGCTAAAATAGACAATGCGTGATCAGGACTTTGGCCTCTACAGTAAATGAAATATTACTGGTAGGTAATAATGCTAGCACCCTTACCAATGCTGATGAAACAAACGCTCATTGAAAATCGTGATCAGAATTTTGGCCTCTATAGTAAATGAAATAATACTGGCAGGTAATAAATAACGCTCTTGAAAATCATGATCAGAATTTTGGCCTCTATAATAAAATGAAATAATACTGTAGGTAATAAATGTTAACGTTCTTACCAATTCTAATGAAACAACGCTTTTTGGAAATCGTGATCAGAATTTGGCTTCTATTGTAAATGAAATATCAATGGTAGATAATAAATGCTAACCGCCATTACCAAAATAAAATAGGAAATATTTGCTAAAATAGACAATGCGTGATCAGCACTTTGGCCTCTATAGTAAATGAAATATTACTGATATGCTAGCGCCCTTACCAATGCTGATGAAACAACCGCTCTTGAAAATTGTTATTAGAATTTTGGCCTCTAAAGTAAATGAAATATTACCGGTAGATAATGTTAGTGCCCTTACCAAAAGATTCTGAAGGAGCTTTTCAAACCGTGATGATGATATTTCAATTTCGCCTAATTCTATATTCGTAACCAGGCAAAATTCTAGAATTGAGTTAATGAATAATGCGAATAGAAAAGATGAGATGATCTGTGAGTTTCGTTGACAAAAAGAAAAAAGTTTAAAGCATACTTGCCTATTAAAGTAATCCTCAATATAAAAAACTTACTCACCCTTATTGTTGCAGGGTTGACCCACTTACTGTATGTTCGTAGACCCACCCGGGTCTATAATATAGACGAAAGATTTTGGTGGAATGTAGAAGATCCGGGTATACTATAAGAAACAATATTAAAAGACCCGGATCTATTACTGTATTGAAGATTCTAAAATTGGTGGAATGTACCAGACCCGGGTCTTGTATACGCACATTCACGGTACTCTACCTGAGTCGCGTAACTGTTTAAAATAAATAGGACTCATTAAATTAGTTGAGTTAGAGTGAAAAACAAAATCTTTCTTATAACTTATCTTTAATTTACAAAGCCACGATTAGTTATAGTAAAAATATGCAGTTTCGCATGAGGTATACGTAGTGTTGATCACCCTTATAAGTTCGGTAATTTGAATCTAATTAGAAACTATAAGTTTCAGTTTATAAGTTCAGTAAAACAAAGTTGACGCAATTATTCAACACTGGGTATGCGAGATCTAAAGCTTATTATACTACATATATATATATAAATTTATGTGAGCGAAAGTTTATTATAGCGTTTACAGATTTTACCTAATAAAGGCAGGTTTTACATTATATAAAAAAAAAAAAAGCGGATTTTATTTAATTAAAGGCGGGTTTGCATAAATACTTTTAATAAAAGCAGATTTTACATGTTTTGATAACTAAACTCAGGTATTACATGATTATCTCAGATTTTACATGATATAGCTGATAAACACGGGTTTTACCGGTTGGCAACTCAGGTTTCACCCTGTCGTATTATTATTATTAAATAAATTTTTTAGAAAAAAGTTGAGATCCCATAATCTAGTAGTCTAGGCACCCAACCTTCTACAAGCAAGTTTCAGGTTCAAGTCCTAGTAGATGCGAATTCTATGAATACTTGAATATACTCACATGTGGAAAAGTCCAAATGAGTACAAGTTTGGATTAAAAATTTCTGAAAAGAGATCTATTGTAGAAAGTTGGCACTATGTGTAATAGTAGTTGTTACAGAAGATTCTATAACACAATAGTTGTGCATATAAATCTTTAATTGGCATAAGTAGTACCAACAACCCTAAGGCAGTATTGGAGATCTTGGTTGGGAGGATAACTAGACAGTTACTAGAATCGGAGTAGTAAAAAAAGTGGTAAAACACAAAGAGGCCTGTAGTAAAGAATTGGCCTTACAAGATTTGGAACATCTCTGGTGCTATATGGATCTTTCTAGCCAATAAAAAGTTAAAGCATAGGGCATATATATATAAATAGACCCAATAGGCAATAGTCATACCTATATGGGAGTCTTTGGATATTAAGAGAGCTCGGGACTTACCAATATCAGAATAGCTGGTATAAGTATATGTAGTAGTAACCGGAGGCTACAACTGCCAAGAATTATCATAAATAGAAAATGATAATACACCTGTTAAGAACTCCTAGGCCTTATAATGCTACCCAACTATACTTGGTACTGGAAATATATGCAGGGTGTATACGATACTTAATCCAGTTAGTGTACCAGGCTGATACTTTTGAAGAGAGAATTTGTGTAATATTGTTTT